GCCTTGCTGATTCTAAAGCCCATATTGTTGATCACTTTAATGTGTTACCTCTCATGGGAAAAAAACAAAACTGATCAAACCTTGAAACCCTTTGTTCCAGTTCTAAAATGTTTTCCCCTGCCCTGCCAGGCGTGGCTCAGCGGTTGAGCGTCGACCTAGGATCCCGGCGATTGGGGTTCAATTCCCAGTCAGGGCACATGCCCCGGTTGCGGACTCGATCCCCAGTTGGGGGGGGCGTGCAGGAAGCAGCCGATCAATGACTCTCTCATCACTGATGTTTCTATCTCTCTCTCCCTCTCCTTTCCTCTCTCTGAAATCAATAAAGATATATTTTTTAAAAGATAAAATTAATTAATTAATTAAATTAAATGTTTTCCCCTGACACCCTCAGTCACACGTACCCTGGTTTGTGTTATCTATAGTGTAACAAGTTTAGTCAGTCTTGTTAGCTTCCTGGTTTTGACTCTCAGACTGAGAAGTTAGCCTTTTCCTGGTCTAACTAACTAGGTGATTGGTAGTCATGTCATTTAGTAACTTGGTTTGATCATCAGCGTGAACTTTCTTATAAACAATTTTTAAATGGAAAGTGTCCTTGGATTTGAAGTAGAAAAGTCTGGCAGCTTAGTTTGGCCACCTATAGTCTTATGGTCCCAGACTCTAATGGATCGTTTTGTCCCAAAGTGAGGACACTGAACCATGCTTTCTCAATTCCAAATTACGAGCCTTTTTCCTTGGCTCATCAGCCAGCCAAAAGACAACCTTTTTAGTGTTGACAGTGAAGATACATCATTTATTTAGAGATCAAGAAAATTCAGGCTCCATGCAATTTGGCCTGGTGCTCTCCGACGTCCCCTGCCCATTGAAGACATATCTTCATATTCAAACGATGGTGTGTATGTCATGCTCACTGGATGGGCTTGTGTAGAGAACTTCGCCTGTAATCGTTTTTCTTTTTGATGGACAGAACAGAGGTTGCTCTGAGACTCCTGGTAATAGCAGCAGCGGCGTGGTTAAGATCTCAAAAGCCAAATACTGTCAGGTTGAAAAGTAAAGATGTATTCAGCACCTGTAATCTCAGGCTTGAGGTTACTATGTGTTACTTGAATTGCACAGTTCAGAAACTAGAAAAAGCCTGTCAGGAAAATTATTATTCTGAAATGCTTGTAAGAGGGCAGGATTTACTCCAGGGGATAGACAAAGTCTCCCCCAAAATTTACATTTGTTGGAATGTATTAACCTCAAAAGTCTTTAATAAATCAAGACCCACTTGCAGACACTGATTTCTTTTTCCTTTTACTATTTTTCTAATCTCGTGTTGGCCTTTGCCCATAATTCATGTTTTCTCCACTTCCTGGCCTCCCATCTTCCTTAAATCATTTCACTAGGTCAGCCATGTTCTACTTTTTCCATCTCATGGCACACAAACTAATTACTAAAACTCTGCGGTGCACCAAAAATTATGTTTTGCCAATCTGACCAAAAAATAGGTGTAACTTTGATTCATTCGCACCGGATGGCTATTGTTGTTGGCTGCTGTCATTGTTTTGGGTGACACTCTATGGGAAAAGAGGTCAGAGCCCCTGGCTAGTCAGGTACTGCATGTTTTAAACATTCTTTCAGCACACCCGTTGAAAAACGCTGATCTAGATAGATGCAGACCATCTGTCCTCCCAAAAGGCTGTTTCTTCTCTCAACAAGGGGTGGGGGTGGGAGCAAGAGGCAAAGCTCGGACAGAAGGCCAGGAAAAATCTTGCGGGCAGTTTTTTGGCTCCTCTTTGGCCCCCTGTGCCTGCCCTGCAGTCCCCTGGGGAACGACAGAGAGACAGCAGCTTGTATCCATCTGAGAAAGCAGCAGGGCTGCAGGAGAGAAAATGCTGGGTTTCTCAGACACAGAAAAGCCATGCAGTGGTTAGTGGTGCTCTAGAACCGGGAGTGTTTGTGCCCTAGTGTCAGATAGAATGGAATCTTTCATTGTCGTCGAAGTGGAACATAAAGAGGCTTTATCAGTGTTTGACTATGCAAAATACAAGCCAGTCATTTGAACAGCTTCCAAATGTATAATTAGAAGCTTTCTACATTGTGGTAATTTTGTAATAACCTTTGTCTTTTCCCAAAGACCCTCTCAAGACCATGGGGATTACATGCATATGGTGCTCCAGGAATACACCCACAGGATTGTGTAGGCTTAAGATACACCCTCCGTCTCTAGGGCCACATGATGCCTAGCTGTTGCCCTTGAAAATTTAGCCCTAATGAAGGCCTTTGAGAAACTACCCTTGAATCTGCCTAGCCTTAGTGTAGTAGGTCTTCAGTTAACAAATGTTGAATGAATAGCACGTTAGTTCAAATCAGGAGAGAAAGAGTTCTCCCCTGCCTCCTCCAGCCATGTTTAAGACCTCAGAAATAAGGCAGCCTTGCCTCAAAAGAGCCTAAAGTCCTAAAAGGGGAGGTGTTGCCCAAAATCAAATTACAGAGGAGGTAGTAAACTTTGAAGTGAGCCATACTATATAAGGAGCTGAATTTTAGTCTTTTTTAAGTGAGGAGAAAGTGAGAGAGAGAAACATCGATTTGTTGTCCCACTCATTTATGCATCCATTGGTTGGTTCTTGTATGTGTCCTGACCAGAGATCAAACCCACAACCTTGGCGTATGGGGACGATGCTCTAACCAACTGAGCTAACTGACCAGGGCTGAAGTTTATAGTCTTTAAGCCCTTTCAGGTTCCAACCACATCCAAATAATAACAACTAACTCTAATAGAAAAAGACAAGTCTCAGTTTTCAGTGAACATTAGTAAAAAAGCTAACTTGAGTATGGCATTATTACATGGGGGTCTCCACTGCAAATTATCTTTTCTGTCTTTGAAACATAACAGGTGAGACTTTATGCCCCTATGGAGAACAGACGAATACGGGCCTTTCATAAGCCTTGAGCAAGCTGCTACTGCTGCTGCTGCTGCCGCCAATGTTATAAACAAGAAACATTTCAACCTTGAATCTGTCTTGTGGGATAAAGCTTAAAACGCATCTAATTCAAATATATGAGATTTCTCCTCAGCTGTGACATCTCCCAGATAAGGTTGAAATGAGTGCCCTCAATTGTTGAAGCCTGGCCTGGAGAGCAGAACCACAGCCTTGTTCCACTTGCCTTAAAGAAGCCCATAGAAGAACTGTGCCTCTCCAGCTTGTGCCCAAGTATCACATTTCACTGATACCTGATTCAAACATTGCACAACGTATGCCCATTAGCACAGAAATGTTCAGGCCCCCATTTTGTTTCAAGGTGGTAAATTGAATTATAAATCAAACTTAAACTGAATCCTGAAAACTTCTGGTGTTGTCAGAAGTTAATCAGCTCTGCAGAAGTGATGGTATGACAAACTTAAAATACTGAGTGGCTGAGTTAAAAAAGAGGCTTTCACTTGATATTGATGGTGTTGATCTCTTTGGAAATTGTTTTGCCTCTCACTTTAAATATGACTAAGCCCCATGGCAGTGTCAGTCTTTCCAAAACAACATAGTGCTGTTCTATAGGATGAATATGTGCCACTGCTTAGAAGGATGAAACAGTGTGATACTGAGATACAGTCCTTGGTTCCAGACAGAGCTGAGTTAGCATCCCAGCTCTGCCACATGTAATTTCATGTTGCCTCAGTTTTCTCATCTGTAAAATGGAGCTGATAGTATCTACTCCTTAGAGTTGTTATAGTGACTAAGTGAAAAAACATACGGGTGAAGAACCTGGCCCATAGTAGATGCTTAGTAAATGGCTGCTGTTGTTAAAATGCAGTTCTTGTGTATTGCTCACTGACAGTCTCACCAGTGAGGAAACAACTTACAAGCTAACTGAGGAAATGAGAATCGAAAGAGAATTTCACTCTTGACTACATACTTCCTTATTTTGTGTCTCATGTGTAAGTCTTATCTCCCGACTAGATGGTGAAGTCCCTAAGGACAGAAACTAAATCATCTTTCCTGTACCCTGCAAGACTAACACAGTGCTAGACAACTAGTAGACAGGAAATGTTTGTTGATATGACCTTACTAGCAATGTCTTATGTCTGTGTATACATACCCCTCTTAGGAGAACAGGATCATGTCTCACCACATAGAAATCTGAAAGTTTCCTGGTAACTGTTATTTTCCAGTAAAACCATGGGGAAATTTTACCATCTTCAAATCATTGTGCTTTCTAATTTGTGTCTGGGTCCAGTTTATTATCTATGCATTTATAAGTATTATTAACACTACAGCTGGCGTTGAGATGACTTTCTGATCTCCATTTTTATATTAAAATCTTAATTTTCTAATATTACTAAGATTAGCTAGAGGTCCTTTATACTTAACCTTTTCATCTGCATATTTAAATATATTTAATGATTTTTCAGTAGCTTTATGGTAAGCATGTCTAATTAAGATATTCTATACTCTACATTTTTTTCAAGTTCTACTGATGTCCTAGCATTTCATTACCATTGGGGGAAAACCTGAAATCCTTAAAGGCCTGAGTGTATAACAATATTAAGTACAGACTGAAGAACTGATATGACTTTATATATGTATAATTAATTAAACATATAATAGATTTTATGTGTTCTCTGAGTAGCAGGGATATAGATGGCCCAAAGATTACTTATTACCAATAATATTACTCATGAATTAGAATGGAGTTTTAACATTGTTTTGATCCCTGCAAAGACGCTCCTGATCTGTAAGGTATATGAGATGTTACTGCAGCTATGCTTTATCTATGAGGAAATTGAGGCCCAAAGTATTTGGGTTACGCTCCTGATTACATAAACATTTAGTGGCAGAGCTGGAGAAGGGCCCACATCTTCTCTTTCTGATTAATTTTTTCAAACCTCAGTGAGAATTGTAGTTCAGAAATACAGTCCTGGCCATCAACTATTTTCTGCCATCCAACACAGTTGATCACCCCACATTCCATGTCAAAATACTTTCCATTTGACCCCAAGAACACTCTTTCTGCTTCCCTCTCAGTTTGAACGCAATGACCCTGTGGACGGGAGAATTACTGAGAGGCAGTTTGGGGGCATGCTGCTCGCCTACAGCGGGGTGCAGTCCAAGAAGCTGATGGCCATGCAGAAGCAGCTCAAGAAGCACTTCAAAGAGGGAAAGGTAAGTATCGTTGCCCAGGGGAAGGAAAAGAACCAAACCATGGAAACTACCATGGCATCACCCAAAGATTACAACTAATTCATCTCTGGTACCTGAAAAAATGAGCAGTGGAAGAGGAGGAGTGGGGAGCCCAGAATGGTTCTAGTTTTCCTAGTTGGGGAAAGGGTGACACCATGAACTGAGACTGAGAATTTAAAAAGAGAGGCTGGTTTATAGGGAAGGTAAAGAGTTCCGTTGTAGATATCTTGAGTTTAAGATGCCTGTGGCCATCCAAGTAGCAGGCATTTGGATATTTAAGTATTTTAGGGGATGAGATAGATTTGGGAATCGTCAACACCCAGTAAGAAGTAAAACAAGGGGAATGGCATGGATTACTCAGGGAGAGCATAATATAGCAAAGAACTGTGGCCCAAGGCAAAGTCCAGTGGAGCACTAACATTTAAGCACCTGGGGAAGGAAATCTTGAAACATATTTAGAGAGATACCTGGAGAAAGTAGTGAAATAGAAGCCAAGGAAGTAGAGGATTCAGGAACTGAGGTCTACAGCGTTGCATGTGACGGAGATGGCCCAGCAATGTGAGATGGTAAACATCCAGTAATGTAAGGTGGTTTTGGTTAAACAGTAGTCGTTGGTGACCTGTGGAGAGCTGTTTCATTAGAGTGGCCTGATGGAGGGCGTATTAAACGAGAAGTAAGGAAGCAGAGAGAGGAGGAGGAAAGGAAGAGGGCGGGAGCCCCAGAAGGGAAACAGCACATGTTGGAAACCCTCACGAGCTATGTAAGTCTGCCTGGGCTGCTGCAACAAAATACCACAGGCTAGGTGGCTTAAACGACAGAAATTAATTTTTCTCACAGTTCTGGAGGCTAGAAGTCCATGATCAAGATACTGGCAAATTAGGTTTGTAATGAGGGCTCTCCCTGGCCTGTAGACTCTGTCCTCCTGCTGTGTCCTCACATGGCCTTTCCTTGGCGTCTGCACAGAGAGGCAAGGAGGAGGGAGAGTGCCCACACTGGCTCTCTGATGTGTCTTCTTATAAGAACACTAATCATATCAGACCAGGGCTCCCACCCCTAGGACCTTATTTAACCTTAATTATTTACTTAGAGCCCTCTCTCCTAATAAAACCACTAGGGGGTAGGACTTCAGTGTATAAGTTTTGGGGGGGACACAAACATTCATTCCATAACAGGAAGGAAAGAAATGTGGCATGTGTGAGGAACCGAAGAGGACTGTTGAGATTGGAACATACTAGCAAGGAGAATGGACAGCGACGAGGTCAGAGGGGGACGTGAGGGCCAGGACATGCAGGACCTTGTAGGCAGGGAATGAGTTTGGATTTTATTCACAGTGGAATGGGAAGCTATTAAAGGGTTGTGAGCAGTGAAATGGTATGGTTGTACATATATTTAAAGAGATGACTCTGGCTACTTTATGAAAAATATTTTGGAAGGGAGTGAGCATAGAAGCAGAAAGACTGATACTAAGGTTGAGAATTCAGGAAGAAATGATTGAGCATCTTTTGAGCAACATTGAGATTGGAGGCCATGGATTTGTAGTGGCACTAATCAACCCTACTCTAATGCCTTTCGACACTGGCTACACCTGGTGCAAGAAGAGGCAGATGGTAGAACTGAGTCAGCATCTGGGAGTTTGCCAGGGAGTAGGAAGGACACAATGAAGCAGAAATTAATTAGGAGGCCAGACCTCTTAAAGATCTCAGACGCACACACACAGAGCAATGCCACCAAAGCCATATCATCTCATTCTCAGCCCAATACTCTTTCCACTGGACAATGATTACCAATTTGGCCATGATCAGGAAAGTGACCTGGCACCAAAAATGTTCCATGGGAGATTGCCAAGTTAGTGTGGTATGGGAGACATGGAGCTAGAAGACTTGGATTCAAGTCCTGCCTCAGAGGTTTCCTTGGACATTAGACAAATTGTTTAACCTTATTGGCCTCATGAATTGAGAAGCTTGTCCTACATGTGCATTATAAGGGCTCTGTGGCTTTAAAGATTCAATAACTGAAAATAAGAAATAGGATTGCTAGTACTGTACTTGTCTGTTTCCTTAGCTATTGGTCTTTGTGCAGGAAATCTTGCATGAATAGCATTGCCCCAAGTTGGGTGGAAAGCAATTCTTATCACCCAGACTTTTTCCTCCTTGTCTTGGATGTCAGGAAGCTGAAAGGACCTCAGAACCAGGCTGTGAACTGCAACTGAGGGCAGGCTGAGCTCTGAGAGAAAGTGTCAGCTTCTCTGAATTCAGTCCAGCCTGTCCCTAGAGCAGGTGTTCCCTTGGCTGTGAGGGAAGGCCTTGTTATTAATGGAAAGTGACAAGAGAACAATACTTATACACTACCCAGTACCAGCTCAGATCTGTTGGAAATTATAATTTCAGAAAATAGATTGCAAATGTTTAGGTGGATTTTTTAGTGCTGATGCTGGAAGCATAGTGTTTGCATTAGGAAACACTCCTTTCTTTTAACCAGATTTTTTTTAAATATGTCTTCATTGATTTCAGAGAGAAGGGAGAGGGAGAGAGAGATAGAAACATCAATGATGAGAGGGTCATTGATCGGGTGCTTCCTGCACATCCCCCACTGGGGATCAAGCCTGCAACCCGGCATGTGCCCTGACCAGGAATCAAACCACGATCTCCTGCATCCTAGGTCAACGCTCAACCGCTGAGCCACACCAGCCGGGCAAACAGACTTATTTTTAAAGTTTGGCTCAGACATTGATTTGACCTTAAAATAATTATCTATCATGATAGGCTAATTCATGTTTTATTATGAATTTATATTTAAGAGCAATAAATTGGATGTTGGAGACATCTCCCTTGAAGGAATAGAGTATTTTAGCTTTGGCAGGAGTTAATTTAGGACCTGAAGACCTTTCAAAAGAGCTTTGAAGTAAAAGGACAAATTTGTCAGATGATGAAAATCTGGGGTACTGAATTACTTCTGGCCCAGAATTTCTGGCCTGCTTTAGCAAGGAGAATGAGATTGATTGTCCTCTCATGTTGGTTAAATAGTTTGTGAACATAGTAATTAGGTAACATGAGAGTGAATGAAGGACCTTTGCTCCTGTAGTTACCAGTCCATCTCTCTAGGACCGTTTCCCGTTAGAGGGGAATCACCATCTTTTCTAATTGCTTCTTTATTTCACTTTGGATTAATTGTTAGCATGAAAATGTAAGTTTTCATTTGGCTCATGTTAAACACTTTATTTGTGGGGTTCTGTACAAAATATCCAACCAGACCTACAAGATTGAAAGTCCTAGTGGTGTATTAAATAAATACCTGTAGAATACTTAGTGACCATGCAGTGCCTCACAGGCATTTTTCTTTTTCTGTGTTTCTAACAGCCTTGTTAGATCTCATGTTGCGTTGGAAAATATAGAGACATAGAGAGAGAGACATTGATGACCCACCCAGAGTCCGGACTGAAATCCAGCACTTCCTATTCCAGACCTTGTCCTTCCCATGGCAAAGCTCTGTTTCTCCTGACCGCACTCTTCCCCTAAAGCAGGCTGGTTGCCCAGTAGGCTCACTTGGGGAACTTTTCAGAAATGTAGCTGTTGGAGCCCTCTTCAGATGAATTAAATCAGAAGCTCAGTGGGTGGGTCCAGGCATCAGTGTTTCCTAAAAGGCTTCCAGGTGATTCTGATGTGAAATTGGGCTTGTGAGCCACTGCTCTGGAGTGGCGCTGGCTCTCTTGTCCCTGGGTAATGGCCTGAAGAATTGGGGAGCCTGGGAAATTTCCTCTGTTCATACCCTGAGTAACCACCATGTTTCTTATTTAACAGTTTTCTTTTTTTCCTTTTCTTTTTATGAGAGAACATGTTTTGTTTGAGCTTGTTTTAAAGGTTAATCCCTGTCCTCTACTAGATTTTTCCTGTTCCCCTCACTATTCTTTTTCCTGTGAATTCTTCCAGGCCAAACCTCTAAGTTGTTGTCTTCTCCTCACTAAAAGAAAGACAGAGTTCCCTGGGATTTCATAAATTTCATTCATTGTGGTAGTTTTCTATGCTCAAGAGGGCAGAAGCTGCAAACTTTGGTATTTTAGCAAATCCCCCTGGCCAGTGTGGCTCAGCTGCCTGAGCGCCGTTCCATGCACCGCAGGGTCGCCAGTTCAGCTCCCAGTCAGCGCACATGCCCGGGCTTGGTCCCCAGTAGGGGTGCGTGCGGGAGGCAGCCAATCAATGTTTCTCTCTCACATCCATCACAGAATAAAATAACTCTTCCTTCTTCCACTTCCCCCCAGCTAGGCAAGAAAATTCCTTTGATGCCAAGCCTAAGAGGATATTTCCTTTTGACCACCATGACTGTAGTTTAAGTCCCCTGCCAATAGATTGTGCCTAAATTATGGGCTTCTAACCTGAACAGCTCAACCTGAGAAAGCATATCCTTTCACTTTCCATCCACAAACCTCACATTACAGTTTTATTCTAATAACTCTCTGAGTTTTTACTGGGACAGTTACCAAGAAATAAGAATTTCATGCAGCCCTGGATGGGTAGCTCAGTTAATAAGAGCATCGTCCTGATATACCAAGGTTGTAGGTTCAATCCCAGTCTGGGCATATACAAGAGTCAGCCAATGAGTGGGTAAGTGGAACAACAAATCGATGTTTCTCTCTCTTTCTTCCTCTCTCTCTCCCCCTTCCCCCTGCCTCTCTCTAAAATCAATAAAAAATAAAAATTTCATGACTGGCATGATCTCTTCTCTGAGGAGATCAATCTAAATTTTAAGCCCTATAGAACCAAGCCAATGCAATTTTATTTCCCTCACTATTTCTGGCATAGTGCTCAATGGCTAGTAAGTGCTCAATAAATATTTTTTATTTTACCTATATAATAGACAAAATGTTACATTTTTAAAAATTTCTTTTAATCCTCACCTGATGATATGTTTATTGATTTGAGAGAGAGAGAGAAACATTGATGTGAAAGAGAAAAATCCATCGGTTGCCTCCTGCATGCACCTCAACTGGGGATCGAACCCCCTACGTGGGTGTGTGCCCTGACCGGGAAACAAACCAGTGACCTTTCAGTGCATGGGACACTCAACAACCTGAGCCACCCGGCCAGGCCTGTGCCTTTCTATATAGTCATCATATTCCACAAGAAAAAGTTTAATTTCTTTAATTCTTGGGGAATAAACTATAAAAGATCGTGTGATGTAATTATACATGCAGTATTTTAGCTCTTCGTTTGATTGATAAAATAAGAAAGGCACCACTGACCCAGTTTGGAGAATGCCAGGAAAGTACTATAGTCTCTCTTGAGGTTTCCTTATTACTGAGTTCCCATTGTGGACTCCTGGGCTCTGTAGTTAGTAGAAATGGAAATTGGAAGAGCAGCATCACTAAGTGGGAACCAGTCAGCATCGCAGTCCATTAAGGGCCTGATTTTTCATTAAAAGGCATTAACCTCAGTGTGTCTGCAGTGTTATTTACTTCTTAGAAATTGTATTCATTTCCATCACAGCATGATGTGTGAGAAGTGGGAAGTAGGCAAATAGGACAACCTTCCTCCCTGTAAGGGAGTTCCCTGTAGCCCCTATTTATGTAACTACACTCTCTCGAGCCTTCATAGAAACTAAAATTTGAGGTCAGCAAACCTTTGACTAGCCTTTGAAAAGAATTTCTTTTTTTTTCTTTTTTTAAAATGTATCTTTATTGATTTCAGAGAGAGGAAAGGAGAGGGAGAGAGAGAGATAGAAACATCAATGACGAGAGAGTCATTGATCGAGCCCGCAACCCAGGCATGTGCCCAGACGGGGAATCGAACCCCTATCACCTGGATCCTAGGTCGACGCTCAACTGCTGAGCCACACCCGGCTGGGCTGAAAAGAATTTCTTTATTCACAGAATTTCATCAGATTAAAATTAAGTGGCAAATTGCTTTATCAATAGCTCTTAAATTGTGATAATGAACAGCTTCCCAAGGCCTTGGGTTCTGCTACATTCTGAAACCTTTCCCATGTATATCACTGACTTTGGTGATTCTTTAATTAGCTTAAGCTTCAAAAAGCTTAGTTGGCCTGTGAGTAGATTATTTAAGCAGAAGTCCTAACTCTGGTCTTACTTGTTAAAGTATATGACAGAACAAGTGGCTACAGCTCATTTAGGAAATGTCAAAATAGATAATTGTGACTAATTGGAAGGCATAGTTAGAAATATTTTCATTAAAGATATCCAGCCACCACTGTACCAACTTTATGTCATACATATTTTTTACGTGTGAGAGGACAGCAATTAGCCAGCTTGCCTTTCTCAGGGTAAAATTCTAGAGTTTTGTTCCCCTGTTGTGTACAAATTTGACATTCCACGACTAATTTATTCAATCTCTGTTCTAGACATAGCATAAATTTCTGATTGATAGACATAATAACAGCCTAGTTTTCTGCATTTATGCAGCTTTTTGCCAGAAGTTCCTGTCTTACTCTGCTGTCTCTCTTCTTTCAGGGTCTGACTTTTCAGGAAGTTGAGAACTTCTTTACTTTCCTAAAGAATATTAATGATGTGGACACTGCACTGAGCTTTTACCATATGGCTGGGGCATCTCTTGATAAAGGTAATGAAACCCAAAAGTTTTTTCCTGAAGGTATAAGCATTGAATCTGTCTATAATCTATTAGGTGACTACCCCCCATTAACTGTCTGTCATATGATTTCCCTGACATTGTTTTTCAGTTCGGTTTGGTATGTTTTCATTGCATGATCCTTGAGTTTCACCGTAAGAGGCCAAGCTCAGCAAATATGTTTTCTTTTGCTAAACACTATAGTCAAGGCAATGTAGGAGGGATAAATGGTGATGGAAGGAGACTTGACTTGGGGTGAACACACAGAGCACAGATGATGTGTTGTGGAATTGTGCACCTGAAACCTGTTATAATTTTGTTAACCACTGTCACCCCAATAAATTCATTGAAAGTGGGGTGGCGTAGAGTTACATTAAAAATAAACTATAGTCAAGGCAGATGCCCATCTTTAAATGATTAGCTTTGGAAATAGGCATCTAAGCTGAGGCAAAGTGCATGAAACTTCTAAACTCCATTGGAGCCAGAGTCATTACATATATAATGTGAAGCTAAAATCACTCTGCATTTTAATTCATTCTTTGGTGAGAAGGAATGGGCTTGGTTTATTTCTTGTATTAAAGTCTGTTGGGGTTTTTTAAAGATAAAATTATGACTCTGAAAATAGCGCCTCCTGTTGGCTTACTTCATACAAATTCAGTTCCAGTTTGTACAGGCAATGTGAGAGAGCTGAGGAGCTGAAAACACAATTTTCCCCCAGCATTTTATTACGAAAAATTTCAAACATTTAGAACAGCTGAAATAATTATTCAAAGAACATTCATATATATGGCTCAATTAACATTTTGCTATGTTTCCCTGATAGTATATCTATGCATATCTTTATCCTTCTATCAACCTTTTATTTTTTGATGCAAAGTAAGTTACAGACTTAAGTGCATTAGCTCCTAATACTTCACCATAAGCACTAACTCAAGTTCAATGTTTGTTTAAAGTTACCTTGTTCCCCTTCATAGTCAGCTTCTGCTCCACCCACCAAGAGACAATCTTAATTCTGTGTATTTCTCCACCATAGTTTAATTTTGTTTGTTCTAGAGCCTCATAAAAATGGGATTATACAACATACACTCTTTATAATGTTTTTCTCAGCCTATTTTTGAGATCCATTCATATTGTTGCATGTACAGTAGTTTGTTCCTTTTTATGAATAGTAATCCATTTTATGACTACTCCACAATTCATCTTCTGTTGGACACATTGGCTATTTCCAGTTACTGCCCATCTTTAATAAAGCTGTTATGAACAGTCTTCGGTTAGTTTTTTGAGGACATGTATTTTCACTTCTCTTGGATAAATACCTATGGAATGAATTGCTGGGTCCAGGGGAAGGTGAGTATTTCTTTATAAAAAACTGTCAGACTTTTTTTCACACTGTATCTTTTACACTCTCACCAGCAATGGCAGCAATTTAAGTAGTTCCATGTTCTTATTAACAATTGGTTAACAACAGTCTTTTTTAATTTAAGCAATTCTGGAGTGTGTATAAAGGTGTCTCACTGTGTTTTAATTTGTATTTCCCTGACAGCTTCCGCTGTTGAGCAGCTTTTTGGGCTAGTATTCATATATCTTTTTTGGTGAAGTGTCTGTTCAAATCTTTTGCCCAGTTTTAGGGTTGCTTGTCTTACTATTGAATTATGGAAGATCTTGATATATCCTAGATACAAGTCCTGTGTCAGATATATATTTTGTGAATATTTTTCTAGCCTGTAGCTTGCCTATTCATTTTCTGAATGGTGTCTTTTGATTGACAGAAGTGGATTTTTTTATTTTGATAAAGTGTAATTCACCCAATTTAATTTTTTGGTTATTACTTTCTGGTCCTAATAAACCTTTACCACCAAACTATGAAGATACTCTCCTGTATTTTTCTCCTAGAAGCATTAGTGTTTTAGCTCTTATATTTTATATATGATCCACCTCTGATTTCTATATATTGTGTGAAGTTGAAGTCAAGATTTTTTTTAAATATGGATATCCAGTTGTACCAGCATTATTTGTTGAAAAGGCCTTCCATTGGTTTGCCCTGGGACCTTTATAAAGAAATCAAATAATCTTTTAAGTGTAGATCTATTTCTTAGCTCTCTATTCCGTTCCATTTTTCCATGTCTTTCTTCATGCCCATGGTCACCGTCTTGGTTACTGCAGCTTTACAGAAAGTCTTGAAGTAGAAGAGGTTATAAATTCTCCCAACCTGACTCTTCTTCTCCAAGACTGCTCTGGATGTTTTAGGTCCCTCGTATTTCTATACAAATATTAGGATCAGCTTGTCGCTTTCTTTAGGTTTTCTTGGATTTCTCTCAGCAGTGGTTTTTTGTTTTTGTTTTTGTTTAATTTATCTTTATTGTTGAAAGTATTACAGATGTCCCCTTTCTTCCCCCATTGATCCCTCCACCGTGCACCCCTCCTCCAGGCCATCACTACACTATTGTCTGTGTGCAGGGGTTATGCATATATTCCTATAAATTCTTAGGCTATTCTCTCACCCTCCCACCCCTGCCTTCCCTCTGAGATCCCTCAGTCTGTTCCATGCTTCTGTCTCTGGATCTGTTTTGTTCATCAGTTTATTTTGTTCATTAGATTCCACATATGAGTGAGATCATGTGATACTTGTCTTTCTCTGACTGGCTTATTTCGCTTAGCATAAGACTCTCCAGGTTCATCCATACTGTCCCAAAGGGTAGGGTATCCTTCGTTTTTATAGCTGCGTAGTATTCCATGTGTAAATGGCCAAGATGATGCTTGATATGATTTCAGTGTTCTTGAACTTGTAGATACTTGTTTTGTGTCCTAACATGTGGTCTGTCTTTGAGACTGTCCCATGGGCACTTGAGGAGAATGTCTATCCTGCAGCTTTGGGGTGAAATGATCTGTAAATGTCAATTAAATCCATCTCTCAGTTTTTTAAGTGTACAGGTCTTGCACATATTTTTTAAAGTTTATTATAAATATTTTATGTTTTTGATGCTATTATAAATGAAATTTTTGTTTTCCAATTTTTTGCTGCTGCTATTAAAATACAATTGATTTTTGCCCTAGTCGGCTTAGCTCAGTGGTTAGAGCGTCGGCCCACAGACTGAAGGGTCCGGGGTTCGATTCCAGCCAAGGGCACCTACCTCAGTCCTGGGAGACAACCCATCAATGTGTCTCTCTCACATCAATGTTTCTCTCTCCCCCTCTCTGCCTCTCCCTTCCCTCTGCTCTTTCTAAAAAAGAAATCAATGGAAAAAACATCCTTGGTGAAGATTAACAAAACAAAGCAAAAAAGGATTATAATGCTCTTCTGATGGATCGGCCCTTGTATCCTTAAGGAACGTCCCCCCTTCATCTTCAGTAATAAGCCTTTTTTGAAACCTGTTTTGCCCGGTGTTGATGTAACACTGCAGTTGCTTTCGTGCTTGTTGTTGGCATGGTGTCTTTCTGTCCTTTTGTTCAGCCTACCTGTGTCTTTAAGGTGCATCTCTTCGAGACATATCGTTGGGTCTCCAGTGGCCTTTTAGCTATGTTGCTTTGCAGTTTTTACATTAGCGGTTTCTCTGGAGATTACAACTTTTCATGATTTAGTTAAAGTTAATACTGTACCACTTCCAGTGACACATAAGAACCTTACAGTCCTATAGTTTAGTTTACCAGCACTCCATCCTTTATACTGTATTGTCATTTATATTTCATCTGTGTATGTTATAATCCCTGTAGTACAATGTTAGAATTTCAACTTTCAACAGTTGTATCTTTAAGAAATTAAGAGAAAAAGTAATCTTTTGTACTTACCCATATTCATTGTTTACTCATCTTTTCCATCTTTACATTTATTCCTGAATATCTAAATTTTATCTGGGCTCACTTTCCCTAAAATCAGCCTGAAGAACTTCCTTTATCATTCCTTGTGGTACAGATCTGCTAGCAATGACTTCTCTTCATTTGGGGGGGGGTGACCATGCCCGTATTTCCCTTTTGTGTTCTGCCCTGTGATTTCTGAAGCACTGACTGAGGTTTACACTGTTCGGTGGATTCCATAAGGTTTTCTAATATGAAATTATGCCATCTGCAAATAGAGATTATTTTAACTTCTTTCTTTCCAAATGGGATGCCTTTTATTTCATTTTCTTAATCTATACGACTTTTAAAAAAGCTGATGCTCTCGCTAATTTGCACCGTGATTGCGGGGGTCCAGTTTATGGGCCTGAGAGTTGGTCGCGGAGAGGCAGTCAGGATGTGAGGACTATTATCTGTTCATTCAGCGAGGTCTTTTAGATTTTTGGGGGGGTTTCCCATAAACTAGTTTCCTATTATCAGCGTAGAACAGAGGAAGAAACTTTTCCAAGTTGATTTTCCTGTTTTAACTCTGAAGTGGGCAAATAATTCAGGATTTTGAGGTGTTTTATGGTCAAGTAATGAAAAAACCATGACTTCAGGGAGGCAGTTTGCTTCCACTTTAAAATTAGCTTAAGATACGGAGAAAATACGAGGTTATGTTTTCAGTCCAGAATCTCTTCACTCAGTTTTCATCACATGTATGTATACAAAGTCATAGGCATACTCTCTCTGCTGTCTAGGAGGCAGAGCAGGGAGCAAAACTCTTTAATTCCTTATGCCTTTTCTTTAAGGAGGGGTCTGAATGGTAGACCCAATTTATATAGAATATGCAATGTAACCACTTCCGCAGCCAGCTACTTTAGAGAGCCTGGGAAAGTTTTCACCTACTCCTTTTTTAATTTGGGTAAAGAATTAACCTTTCAGTTATAGCCAAGTTTCAGCCATAACATATTTCTGTCATATGTATTCATACCTCTACGTGTACATCTTTATTTACATCAGTATGTATACACCAAGTGTTTTATTATGTATCTTTTTAAAAAAAGCCATCTCCAAAACATAATTTCAAAGAGCATGATAGCTTGCTACCCTAGTCATGATGCATCATAGTGTAACAGTTGCTCTCTTTTAGACAATTACATTTTCCCATTGTTGATATAAGC